CTGAAGTTACATTAAGTTGAAACTATCACAGTGAGAACACAATCCGTAGAAAAAGAACAGAAAAGGTTCTAATAATTTTCGGCCAGAACAGTGTCCATTAAGTTTACGAACATTTCTTTTAGCCCTAAAACACAATGCAATGCATAACTCAAAATTCCTTCATATTAACGCAGTACATTGGGCACTTAATTATTATTATTATTTTTTTGCACTTTCTGTCTTACCTCTGCGTAACAGCAGACAGCGGAGAGGACAAAGAATAGAGAAAGTGTCCTAATAATCTGCAGAAAGATATAGGTACAAAAGAAAAGATATAAATATAAATACACAAAAATATAAGTACAAAAATATCCGATTTATCAGTGCGCATATAAGGTCTGTCTCGTAAAGCATGTTGACTTACCATCATCAGGAGATGAGAGGAGAAAGGAGAGATGAGAGGAGCTGCTGCACGGACAGAGAGAACTAAAGAATAACATTACAGAGTTCTGAAGAGATCCAGTGATTCACCCTTCCCCACACCCACACCTCCAAACACACACACACACGCTTACTTAGCTATCTAAATGGGGACATTCCATAGACTGAGTAATAAATACTTTAAACTGACATTAAAGGGGTCATATGATGCGATTTAAATTTTTCCTTTCTCTTTGGAGTGTTACAAGCTCTTGGTGCATAAAGAAGATCTGTAAAGTTGCAAAGACTAACGTCTCAAATCCAAAGAGATATTCTTTATAAAAGTTAAGAGTCAACCACGCCTACCTAAAACATCTCGTTCTAACACGCCCCCACATGTCTACGTCACGATGTGGGAAGATTTGCATAATGCCCCCCAAATGTTCACGTAAAGAAAGAAGGCATAACTTTTATTCTCGCTGTAGTTTTGTTGTTGCCGCCGCCATATCGTGAAGATGCTGTGTGCTTCGTTGTGAAAGCGAAACTACTTTGTTTGGTCTTCCAAAAGAGGACGATATACGCTTCGTCATGCCTAGAGCTGATCTGAGCTGGTCGTTGAGGAAATACATCAACTTTGCGCTGTCAATCGCCGGATCGGCTTTCACCGTGAACGAAGCGGAGTCCAGCCCGGGGTCGTCACATGTGGTTGTCGCAAGCCCGCCGCCCTCCGCTCACTCTAGGCCTCCGCTCACTCAAGGCCGCGGTGTGTGACGCTGTTTTGCTGTGAAAGCGAAACTACTTTGTTTGGTCTTCCAAAAGAGGACACGACTAGAAATCAGAGGTTAAGTTGTATTTACAACACTGTTCCAAAACAGTTCAACCCAAATATTCAAATGTGTGCAGCACATTTTATGTAGAACTGTTTCCTGATCCTGGGAGAGTAGACTACAATGCCGGCTGTTCTGACTCACAGTCTGTAAGTACGTTTATTATATTTTAAGAATTTGCCACTGACGATTCAAACGCAAGTTTTTTGGGCAGTGTAGAGTAGCACTTGTTGTTTGTCATTTCTCTGATCACAAATGCAGACAGGGTTTTATGTTTACACGGCGTGATGCAACACAACGCGTAAAAAGACAGTATAAGTCATTATAATCAGTAATTATGTCCCCACTGGATGCAACAAATGCCTCGTTTGTAATGGGTTTTAATGTTTTTGTCTCGTCGCTCCGGCCGGACATTTAAGATATATTGTGAATGTTTTTTTTTTTTAATGAAATGTCATGGAGGACCAAAGTATGAAAATGTTGTTTCCAACAACATCAAGGATGTCAGACTGTCTGTGGTGACATGTCATGGAATGTTGTTTTATTGTATCTTGCTGAGCAATACTTTGTGCTGATTGGCCGTAATCTTTATCATCATCATCATGGCTGTATGCGCAGAGAGACTAGAAAGAATGTGGCCTACAATCTTTTCGATGGCTAATGTAATTATTACAGTTATCGCTAGATACACTCTATCGTACAGTTTATGAAATCAAGTGACTCTTAATGTAAGTCAGTGAGACCAGAAACAAGGTATTATGTTTAACGTAAATCAGCGGTGGTCATTTCTTTTAATAAATACTTTATATTTTGCTACTATGCCACGATGAACGACTATCATTGCAACTATCAGCATTTGTTTCACCTCACACATACAGTACACATATCCATTACAGTACCATTCACATACAAATCAATAAGCTTGATTGAATGTTTATCATCATGTATGGTTGAACTTACTGAGGTGAAAAGGATGATGCCCTGACAGTTTTCTTATCAGAATAATAACAAAATATCACAGACAACATTCAGCTAATGGCTAATCCAAAAATGTAAACATCAGAATCCCACCTTCGAGCAAAATTCTGGATAGAAAATGTTATTTTTTTTTAAAAACAGCACATGTTTTACTAAATCCCTCCTCCCTACATAGATCTATCTGCTGCAGATCTCTAACTTTGGTTTGTTAACTGTTTGATAAAAACGGTACAAAAAAATACTGCTGCATAAAAAAAAAAAATTTTCACATGAAAATTGCACAGCATTATTTTTTTCAAATCGGTTTCTTCCTCAAAATAAAGAGCTGGTATTATAAGTGTTGCCACAGTTGATGAAAGGCACATCTTTCTTTCTCGCTCTCTCTCTTATTTTTACTTTCTACACTTTCCCAAAAAACTACAAATTACACTGCTGCACTTCTAATCCAGTTCTATATTATTTATACCGTCAAGTCATCTGACCTTGCCCGACTGCTGGCCTTGCTCAGGCTGCTGAGTGGTCTCGTGTCTTCTATCGTCTCGCTGGCTTCCACATCTGCTTCGATGGCCAACTCGTCCTCTTCTTCATCCCTGCTTACAACTCCTGCTGCTGCGCTTGGTCCTATCACGGTCATCTGGGCATAGGAGGGCAGTGTTTCATCATACACCTTAGACACGTCTTTCTTAGGTTTGTTCGCCTCGTCCGTTTTCTCCTCAAATGGCTCGTACGGAGCTGGCAGCCGCCCAGCCTCCATTCCCCGTACCTCAGTCAGGGGGAAGAAGTGCGACATGGCTTTGTCCTCCTCCAGCAACTTATAACCTTTGGCTTTCTGGATGGAGGAGGACGCTATGGAAGGCAAGGCCTTCTCGGACACTCCTGGTCCCTCAACTTGCGGCCGCACGGGTTTACGGAACACAAAGTGGATCTTTTTCAAACCCAAATGGCTGATTTCCACAAAGTTGAGGAAAAGCGAGACGCAGGCCACGGCTAACATGAAGATGATAAACACAGTTTTCTCGGTAGGCCTTGAGACAAAGCAGTCGACTGTGTTTGGGCATGGCCAACGGCTGCA